GTTCTGTGTCAGCTGCGTCACGCCGGATCTGTTTCCTACGTTGTTGTGATTTAATCTGAACGGAAACAGCGTATCCGTGTGATGCAGCTGACACAGAACAGCGTACGCTGTTTGAAACGACATGAGAGTCAGTAATTAATGACAGAATTTTCAGTTTTGGGTGAACTAACCCTTTAATCAATAATGTTCATTACCTGGACACTGAGTGGTAATATTGAGTGATTTTCCTCACTTTGACAGATAACAAATATTGTATTTACCTGCTTTAGAAACACTCCAGTAAAAACAAAACAAACCTGGAGGATTTGAACCTTTTGGAGGATTTTTGGAGATTCTTAGAGCATTCCAATGAATTATTCATTGTAATTAAATTGGGAGACCATAAATGCACAGTGTATGTTGTCTTTTTTCATACAAAGAAAAAAGGAAAATAATCAGGAGGAAAATAATTCAGCAGATTGAAAAGAGCTCTTGCCATAGATATTCTTGTTATACTATGTCACCAAAATACCAAGTATGTTATTCTCCTGGCGTCTGAAAATAGAACATGAAGGAAAATTTACAGCTCATTCAATCAAACTGACAGATAAGGATTATTTGTAACCTCATGATTTGAAATGATTTGTTTCAGTGTTTTTTAGTGAAGCTTCCCCAGATCAGAAGTACCTCCCATAATCTAAAATGCAATAGACTCCTTATGAAAAAGGGTAATTGGTTGAACTTTCCAACGTTTTGAAATGGCGTAGAAAAAAAAAATGCATCATCATCATCATCATTGACACACATTAGGATCCCGGATGTCCTTTGGCTTGGTGAGCGTGATTTCACCAAGTACAACATGTTCCTGGATCAACATCCTTGTTGATCCTGGAAGAACATTCCAATCAACCAATCAGAATTGAGATATAACTTTTCAGGAAATATCTGTTTTAGGCTTACAATCAGGATTAGGTGCTTCTACACCCTTGTTAATCAGCTACCATTTCCCACTGATTTTAGGAATACATTATGGGTAGGGTTAGGTTTAGGGGTAGGGATTGGGTTAAGTCTATATTTTTGGACAGTTATGTTGATCCAGGGACATGTCTTACTTGGCAAAATCACGGCAACCCCTTTGGCTTAAGCGAAGTGGCATGTAATGCCACTCTATGATGATTATCTCAAGATCTACGCAGTGTGCTGTGCTGTGTTTGGGCTTGTTTGAATTGAGAACACCTACTTTACATAAATGTATGTGACCTATTAGGGTTTACTAATGTTTGCTGAAGCTACAAACCAAAACGTGGCCCAAAAGCCGCATGTGTATACTGTTTACATGTACTTGGTGTTGTTTGGTCTATGTGAAACAAGTAACCTTTTCAACGATATATGACACAAGACATCTGTTGTGTATAACAGATCACATTTTCAAGTAAAGTCACATTTTTATTTTCAATTTAGGCATATATTTTTGACCTTTTTCTCTTTCAACCAAAAACAGACTGTCGAATTTGTATCCCTGTTTTTATCTTATGTAAAATAATGTACTTTAGTTTGAGAGTAGGCACTCAGGCTAATTTCACCAAGGTCCAATCACTTTAAAATTTCTGGCCTCTCCTCTGAATTGCAGTTTAGTAAATCAGTCAGATTAACTGAGAAACTGTTCAAAATTGATAAATGTTTGTGATTCACTAAAACTAAACATCTCATAAGAGTCATTCGCTCAAGAATCAGACTTCACTGGTCACACTGTATGTTTCACGCTGAGAACCAGTAACAGAACCGAACACCATGAAAATCTTGGTTCTCAACTCTTGTAGAGACCACACATTGCACACAACTTCTGAGGAAAACAAAGCAATGTTTTACTCTTCAGATGAAATGCTGACACAGCCTGGCCTTTAATACCATCTCACAGTCTGAAAGTGGTACATGAAGTTCTGCAAGGTTTCTTCCAACTCCAAATGAATAAGTTAAATAAATCCTGCCACAAGTGTATTCACTGTCCATATAACTGATAACTGGAACAGATCTTCTTTATTATTGCAGAGCTCATATTATCACAATGATACACTAGCCTGTTGTATTAGAGCACAACCCCATAACTAAAAACTCCACAAATCAGCTATTGTAGACTCTCAATAGATTTGTAAGCTGTGTGTGGGGGATTTACTCTCTGGACATTTTCATTCCGTTTTATAATGATAAAGCTCCATATTGGAGCAAATGATTTAAGAGGATTTATCTTAGATAACACTGAGATCTTTGTGAGCTGGACAGAGATGTGTGTGTGTGTGTGTGTGTGTGTGTGTGAGTGTGTGAATGTGATGAATCACTGATGTGTTGACAGCTTAACTTGTTGAGAGTGCAGAGCAGGACAATATCTCATGCTTTCAAGCACAACCCAAGCTACAAATTATCAATGAAGATCACAGCAGGAAAATAAGAGTGGTGTAAATAGAGTGAAATGTGTGCTGAGAGCCAAATCCACAAGCAGACAGTTTGTCTTAATTTATACCACCAAGATTTTCTAAGGAAAGTGAATACGCTCTTTTTCTCTTTGAAGAGTTTCTCTTTGTTGGAGATAAGAAAAAATAAAAACTTTTTAATAATGTTTTTTTATGTAATAAATGCTATTTAATGAGACTTGTCCTATCCTAACAAACCATACATCAATGCTTATTTCCTTATTTATTCAGCTTTCAGACGATGTATAAATCTCAATTTTATTCTCAATTATGTCCCATACAATGTATTTTTGGCTATTGCTACAAATATACCCCAGCGACTTAAGACTGGTTTTGTGGTCCAGGGTCACAAATTAACGAATGCATTTCAGACTTTAATTTATTTGATTACATAAAATACATTCTCCCTAACCAGAACAAAAACATTTAGTACACACAATAATCACTGAGCCACAAAAGTGGATTAAAATAATAGCTTACCCAAACATGAAAATTTGCTGCCACAAGTGGCAAATTTTCTCAGGCCATCCAAGATGTAGATGACATTGTTTCTTCATCTGAACAGATGTGGAGAAATGTAGCATTATATCACTTGCTCACCGATGGATCCTCTGTAGTGAATGGGTGCTGTCAGAATGAGAATCCAAACAGCTGATAAAAACAACACAGTAATCCACAAGTAATTCACACGACTCCAGTACATCAAAGCTGCATGTTTGTGAGTCCATAATGAATAATAATGCTTCCTTCAGTGAAAAAGTCCATCCTCTGTTGTCCCTCTTACATCAAAATCCACAGAATTGGAGAAAGCAATATTATGGACTGAGGACTCGTGTTTTAGCTGGAAACAATGGTTTAAAGTTAAAATGTCTTGGTGAATTTGTTTCTTACAAACACAGCTTTTCACTTCACAAGACATTAGCTGATAGGCTGGAGTCATGTGGATTACTTGTGGATTGTTGTAATGTTTTTATCAGCTATTTGGGTGTAATGTGACATAATGTTAAATTTCTCCAAATGTGTTCCAATGAAGAAATAAACTCATCTACATCTTTGATGGCCTGAAGGTGAGTAGTTTTCAGCAATTTTGCATTATTGGGTAAACTATTCCTTAAATTGTTTAATAATTGTATTGTTGTATTAATAATAAATGTTTGTGTTTAATTTTGAATAATTATATTTAATTTTTATTCATTTTTTGTTCAACCGGAAAATAAGCAAAAAGTTAAAAAAAAAATTATATATATCTCTGTATACAACAGATGTGGAGCTTTCAGCACATCTGTCTTTTTCTTCCACAGATATATGGCCATCATTCATCCCCTGCAGCAGAGGATGTCTGCAACTCAGACGAAGGTGGTCATCGGGGTCATGTGGGTGCTGGCTCTCCTGCTGGCCTTCCCCCAATACTATTATTCCAACACGGACCAGCTGCCTGGCAGGGTGGTCTGCTACATCGACTGGCCTGAGTACACTGTCCTGGACTTCAAAACGATGTAAACATCTCACTTTTATCTAATCAGCATGCTTGTTGCCTCATGCCACCATTTGCCGATATTGGAAAATGTTTAGGTTGAATATTTGCTTCAGAAATGTAGATTTATGGCTGTAGGTGCAGAGAATTCCTTTTCCAGATCAGATTTCACCAACGTTTCCGGATATTACTGGAAATATTATCTTTATTACTCTTGGAGTAATCAAAAATCAGTGCTGCCTTTTCCCTAAATGTTGGCTTATGTAACAACAGAGAGGAGCTTCATTACAAAGAAAACGGTAAACACAGGAAAGCCATGGTCCTAAGAGAGAGAAAAGACAAGAGTGCAAGACTATTAAAGCGAACATAATTGGAAATATTGCCCAAGGGTAAATACAATGACTTTACAAGAGCAGACGCTAATGATTATTACTCCTCCGTATTGTGGTTATTTACTCTCAAAAAGTTGGCTTGTATGCAGATCGACTTTAATCTGAAGTGCTGAGGTCTAATGTCAAGTGCTGTGAAAATGGTGTACAAAGCCATTGAGCCCAATAGAAGCCGAGATCATTCTGCAAAGAGTTTTCATGGACGTCACTTTATTTCTGAAACACGGTGAGGACAGTTGCAGGGGAGGGGGTGCGCAGATGTGCCAGCTGTGATGTCACAAAACCGCTTAAATCCTGAAATCCGATTTTGCACAAATAACTCGGCTAAACAGTGAACTGTTTCGACAAAAATTGTATGTGACGTACTGATCCGGATATCAGGTATCTATTGTGGAGTATTTGCTCATTTCCAAGTTGCAAAAAGAAATGTAAATCTTAACATTAAGATTAGAAATGTTCAAAAGCTCTTTTGATATATTATCGCAATAGAATCATGGTAGCATTTTTGGTGAGCATGTATCTGAGAACTGTGTGCTGGAGAGAACATTGCTGCCGTCGCTTATTAATAAACAACTACAGTGAGCACTTAGGAAAACAATAACAAATTCAAAAACGAATGACTTATTAGCATACTAAACCTAAATCAAAACTTCTTCTCAACAATATTCTTCTTCTTTATTAGATATATCACTGCTGTTATCTTTGTAGAGAAATACACCAGAGAAAAATGGTGTTACTATGAATTATCACCCTCTGCCTTAGTTAAAAGCCTAATTTTTCTTTCTATCTCTCCCTTCTGTCTGTATTATTTTCTTTGTTGGATCACCTCTGTATATTTCAATTTTCAACTTTCTGCTGTACTTGTTCTATTCCTCTTTCTGTCTGTCTTTACTGCTGTGAGTGAGAAGTGCTAGTCCTTATCTGTTAGTTAGTGAAGGAGTCTTTTTAAGGCACCCGAGATGTTCCCTTAAGCACCCCACCGTCTCTCTCTTACTCACTAAAACTCATTTCACATTTTTTCCCAAACTCCCCTCTTCCATTACTGTGTCTTTCACACCACAGTTGAGCTGTGATATAAAACTTTTTTGCTGGTGTACCTACCAGCTGACACATTAATCTGTCTACTGCAGAGCATCTAGCCTACCTCCTCGGGCTGACAAACTGAAATGTTTTAATTATTAATAATCTTTTTATTATAATTTAATATAGAATTTGATATACTTACCATTAATTAAGGCAAATAAGCAAAAAAAAAATCATTAGTAGTAGGATCTAACTGGTGTGCCTTCTTTAGCAAATGTCTTACTGTAAGGGATCCTAAATAGAATTAGAAATGAAGAAAAAGGGGGAGTAAAGTTTTAAAGTGCCACAGCAAAAAGGTAAGATCCATACACAAATTTGCTTCTCTAGTACTTTTATGTTGCTTTAAGAATGTCAGATATTTTTAAGTCCAAAAATACTGAGTAAGAATGATTTGCTGTGCACAGTACTCCAGTAACATCTAACAGCATCTTGATTCTGACAAGCATGCGGGAAGTAAAAACTGAGCACAAGCATCTTCAGATCCATATGAGATTGGATGCGCTCAGCAGGAGACCAAACTGTCTTCAGCACTGTAAGCAGTGAGCTGTTCATCAACACCAGCTGAAAGATTAGACTCATACACTGATAAAAATTTTCTGCTCAATTTACTTATATTTTTTTCAGTGTACTATGGTAGTCATCTTGTTTGTCTTAAATGAGATATTTTAGTTTAGCTCATCTCTAAATCTTCTGAGCTTCACATTAATTTCACACACAGAAACAATACCAGTCTGTGCATAGCCTGTGTGAAACTCTTAGCACAAATTGTAAATAACAAATTCACTCAATGAAAAGAAAAATCCCCTCAAATGCTCTTTTGTAAATCCACTTTTTGAGTGTCACTGTCATCTAGTAAGCAACGGATAGCATGCTTAACAATCACACCGTCCACATCTGAATGGATGTAGCACTTATTATTTTTATAATGAAGCTGTAATGACTTGTACAGATGGGTTAAGAGCGCCAAACCGAGATGAGACCTGTCTCACATTAATATAATAGATGAGTCTGATTAGAAATGACACCAGGTCTGTTTTATAGCACATGAACTGGGTTTGAAGTGTTGCACGGCACACTGTCTAGCTCTTATTCATGGCTTTGCCGTGTTGGGTGTTGTAATAGACTGGAGACACATGCCAGAGTATAAATAGTCCGGTGTTATGAAAGCTCACATGCGACATACCTGACATGAGCTCATGCTTATGTTTGAGTGCTGACAAATTATCTGTATGTAATAACGTTCACACAGGTTTACGTATATAATTCTGCTCTCACATACACACTCAGACCACCCGGAGGACTTTTTTTTTTGCTCAGAGAAAGACTTTTTGGTTATGTTTCATTTAAAGAGATAGTTCACCTAAAAATGAAAATTCTGTATTACTCATCCTCATGTCGGTCCAGGTCCAAACCTGCATGATTTTCTTTCTTCTGCAGAATACAAAAGAAGGCTGTAAGATTAATTTAAATATATGGGTTGGTGTGATTATCAAATCACAAAAGCTGCGATTTAATTAAATATATGTGTTGCTTGTTTCCGAGTGAAGGGCAGCACTGTGTTCATTTATATGCAAGAAGCTCATGATTCAGTGTTTTCAGGATCTCGATTTGCAGTAAATGCTGCTCCACACAAATTAATCTCTGAATTTGCTCTGAATCTGAGTTGTTTATAACGTGCATTTGAAAATGCAACATGCGCCAACCATCTTCCCATACTTATAAACAAAATAGATCCTTCAACCATCTTTCTAAACTTATAAACAAAAAAGGCTCCCTGCAGTTTTCTGCCAAAACAAAAACTTGATGGTTTAATGTTTGAAAATGAAGAAATTAAGACGGCCATAAAGTTTTATAGTATTTGAGCCTTTTATAGCATACAATTTGATTTTAAATACTCTATTTTTATTTTATAGTGAAATATTATGATAGTTATTATATTTCTTATTTTGTTTAATATTGCATTTAGTAACAATAATAATAATTATTATGATTGTTGTTATTATTATAATTATTATGAAAGAATTAGGACAGCCATAAATATCAGTATTGTAGTTTTATAGTATTGTAGTCTTTTATAGTATACTGTTTTTAAAAAACTTTTATTTTATTTTATAGTGAAATATTGTGTCATCATTAATAGTCATATTGATATATAATCACCAAAGTTTTGGCCTGGTAATAATCACAACAAACCTGGAGCTTTTTTCTTTTATCAGCTTAATTCTGATCTTTTTTATCAGAAAAATTGCAAACCATGCAGTCCTACCCCAGGGACTTTAATTTGTGCAAAAAACAAACAAAAAAACAGACAGTTTTCAGAATATCTTTCTTTGTGTGTAGTCTTTTATAGTATACTGTTTTTAAAAAACTTTTATTTTATTTTATAGTGAAATATTGTGTCATCATTAATAGTCATATTGATATATAATCACCAAAGTTTTGGCCTGGTAATAATCACAACAAACCTGGAGCTTTTTTCTTTTATCAGCTTAATTCTGATCTTTTTTTATCAGAAAAATTGCAAACCATGCAGTCCTACCCCAGGGACTTTAATTTGTGCAAAAAAAAAAACAAAAAAACAGACAGTTTTCAGAATATCTTTCTTTGTGTTCAGTAGAACAAAGACAGTCATACAGTTTAGAACAACATGAGGGTAAGTAAATGAGGGCAGAGAGACTTATCCAACAAGTAATCTAAAAATGGGCGCCACAGTTTATCAAAGGTCCTTAAAGAACCATTGAGTGACAGTCTAACTTTTTCCAGTTTTATGGCCAATTACACCTCTTTTGGCCATGTATCAAAAACAGGGGGTGAGGCATGTTTCTATTTTAAAAGGATGAGATGTCTCACTGTTGGGGGTTCGGTGCCTTGCTCAAGAGTCTCACCTCAGTCGTGGTATTGAGGGTGGAAGAGAGCGCTGTACATTCACTCCCCCCACCGAAAATTCCTGCCGGACCTGAGACTCAAACCCACAACCTTCGGTTTACAAGTCCAACTCTCTAACCATTTGGCCACAACTGCCCCCATAGCAAACCCAGGTAATGGTAGCTGAGAGCAGATAACAGAGTGCAGAGAGAGGCTCGCTGAGGATTGTTCCAGGTAGACCCAACAAAGGAGTTCAGAATTCAAATTATTCCTCCAATATACATTTTTCTGGCTATTGCAAGCCCAATATTAGTGCAAGAAATTTGGGAGTGCAAGGCCTCCTTTATTTTATTCATCATTTAAATAAACAGCCAAACCTGATACTGCAAAAGTGCACTTGAAGCATTTGTAAACACAGTGACTTATGAATATACTTCAATAGTACAACAGGCAGTCCAGCTAAAGTAGCTAGATACCACATTATCTTTCCTCAAAAAAAGGTTCTAAGAATTGAGTTCTGCGTGACTTCAAAAAGTGCAGAGATGTATGATGTTATCTCAGCACCCCACCACTGATCTGACCCTTTCATCGTGTTCTTTGGCTCTGTTTGATAGTGGTTCACAGATAACACATTACTCCGCCATCCCTACCTGAAAACTGACAGCTCACTAACAGCATGTGGCCA